GAGAGAGAGAGAGAGAGAAGAGAGAGAGAGAGCAGAGAGAGAGAGAGCGAGAGAGCGAGAGAGAGAGCGCGCGCCAGAGAGAGAGAGAGAGAGAGAAGTTGGGGTGTCTGAGGTGCTGGAGAAGATGTACTCGGTCCCGTCGGAAAGGTCCAGCGACGGCGTCGTGTTGCGAATGTACCTGCGTGCGTGCATGGGTTGAGGGTTGAGGGTTATGGGTTATGGGTTGAAGGATTGGGTTGAAGGGTGGTGGCTTAGGCTTGAGGGACGGCGTCGTGTTGCGGATGTACCTGCGTCGGGGGTTGGGGTTGAGGGTTCAGGGTTGAGGTTTGGGGTTTAAGATTGAGGGTTTAGGGTTTAGGGTTGAAGGTTGAAGGTTTGGGGTTTAGGGCTCAGGGTCCAGGGTCTAGTGACGAAGTCGTGTTGCGGATGTACCTGCGTGCCAGGTTGGTGTTGAGGGAGGGATTGGGGGTTGGAGTTTGGGGTTGAGCGTTGGGGGATTGGGTTGAGGGTTGAAAGCTGGGGTCGAGGCACGGAAACGTGTAGCGGATGTACCTGCGTCAGGGGTTGGGGTTAAGAGCAGAGGTTTCAGGGTTTGTCGAGGTCTGGGGTTTCCAAAGACTCATGGCAGGGTGGGGAGAAGACTCTGCCCGAATGGTAACGCCCATGACAATGGCCTCGATCTGCACAACCTCGGCACGGATGGTGCCGATAGTTTGTGGGATTTGCGAAGGGAGTCTGTGGGAGTCTTGAAGTCGCTTGGGCGCGGGGTCACGGCAGCATGTGTGACCATCAATTTGACCATCAAACTCGCGGGAGCGTTACCTGGCGCGGTGACTACGGTCTCGATCTGCACGAGCTCTCGCACGATGGTGTTTGGGGTGTGCAAAGAATCTCGGCAGGGTGGGCACCCGGCGCGGATGGTGAGCAATTACTACGTTGATCACTTTTCGCTGGGTTAGGACCTGATTACAGGGCCTTTGATGAGGGTACTAATAAACAGGAGGAGGAAGAAGAAGAAGAAGAAGAAGAAGAAGAAGAAGAAGAAGAAGAAGAAGAAGAAGAAGAAGAAGAAGAAGAAGAAGAAGAAGAAGAAGAAGAAGAA